ATACTAAATCTTAAAACAAAATGTCGCCTTTAATAAACGATATGTGAGGTGTCATACGGGAACAACTTGCTGTAAAATCCTTTAAAGTACCTGGAACCGACTTAATTATGTCAAGAAATTCTTCCCAATTTGACGTGCTGTAGGATATTCTAGAAAAAAATACAAAGTTTAAGCTGTTACTATACATACATTCATAAGTGTCTCGATAAAAATTTGTATATCCTTCCTCAGTGGTTCACGCTTTATACCAAGAATTATACTCGACTTTTAATTACTTTCGATGTTTTCGTTTTTCATATTTCATTTATTTTTTTATTTGTGTTTATTAGAGCTGTGTGATTATTCGATTACTCGAGCAAGTTGGTTAATCAGTTATTCGGTTAATCAATTACTCGAGTAATCAAGATTTTGATTACTCAAAGTGATGATTAATCGAGTTACTTGAAATATCATTGATCAAAAAAATTAATTTTGCGGAAACAGAAACGTTGTTTTCAAAGTATCAAGGAACTTTAACTGCTTTATATGTAAAGAGTACTTTGAAATGTTGATTACTTATTTTACTCATAGTTTTGATTGATCATAAAGCAAATTACTCAAATATTTTTGTTTTCGGTTAATCAAAATCTTGATTACTCGAGTAACTGAACTTTTGAGTAATCATGATTTCCAATTAATCGAATGATTGAGTTATTTACTTTATGATTAATTAAAATTTTGAATAATCAATTAATCGCACAGGCCTAGTGTTTATTCACTCAGTATTCATATTTGCTGTGATTTTATGTTAAGATGTTAAATACTGTGTAAATACTATTTGTTTTTCTACTAAATTTTAATCAAAGAGCTAATTGATTCATTCGCTTTCATATAACTTTATACATCCTACATATGTATTTACGTTGTCAGTTGATCGCTTAATTAGTCCATCAATTACTGAAATAATCAGCGTCATTGCGTACGTCGTTAATTATACTAAAATGCATGACTCGACAAGATTGGCATTGCCTATTGTCGTTCTGAAAAAAGTAGACGACGAAACCTGTTGAAAACTATCCAGTGCTGCAAAGTTTTCCCATTTTAATACACTAGTTGAATCGAGTTTGTAGACAGTGTTGGCAAAATGTTAATCTGATTAACGATTAAAATGTTAATCGCGATTAACAATTAAAATTAATTAATCGTAATCATCCGTACGATTAATGATTCAATTTTTTTAATCGTTAATCGTCGGTTGTGATTACGATTAATTAATCTTAACCATTAATCGTTAATCCAATTAAAAAAAAATCTGAATAAGTGGTCTAGTTTGTCCGAATTTGAAACCAAACACGGATTATAGTTATTTTTCTGTGTTTCACGCTTATAAAAAACGCATCATATATATAAAAAAAAAAAATAATTATTATTATAAGTAATACATAAACTGAATGAAAATGCACACCAAATTGCTTAGATTCATGACGAAAATGGACTTTCCCGATTAACTGGCCTTGCGTGCACAGTAAAATTCCAGCATAAATTATTTAATCACCAAACCTACTTAATCAAATTAGGGGTTAATGATTAAAAATTATTTTTTTTTTTAATCGCGGTTACGATTAACTGTTTAATCAGATTAAAATTAATCATGATCTAATTGAATTTAATCAAATTAAGTAATTGATTAAAAAATCAATCGATTAGAGCCAACACTGTTTTAGACAATGCCATGCACTTTTCGATTCGACTCTCGAAAGACGACTTGCATTCGACACGACACTCGCAATGAGGCTGAACAAATTTGTTTATTCAACGTATATATCGCTCATTTACTTCGTGAATTTACATATACTCCCATTTAAGAATGAAAACGTATTTTATTCTAGTGATATACTTGTAATCGATACGGCTATGAAATTTTTACGCAACGTAGAAGAAGAGGTAGTGGTAATTTCTGCATACTCAACTCAGAATTTATATTTTTTGGATTTTGACACTATTGAAGTAAATGAGCGATAGATAAATTTATGTCCAAATTCATCGTGTAGGTATCGTGCCTTCTTTCAAACAGAAAATAACACCAAAAGTAAACATGATAAAGTGTAAGAAAGAGGAATAGTGCAAGGCGTGCAGGGAATTCGAAACCGCTCATACTGTTGTATAATTTCTTGAGATGAGTTTAAGGATTCTAAGTTATTGCGGCGAAGTCGAAATGTATTTTTGCGTTTAAATGCGTGTTTAGTCTATTTACAGGTCTATTCTGCGCTGGTTATAAAAATTTTGTAACCGGTAAATAAAGTTCCTCTCAATTTTAAACCCTTTTCGCATTTTGTGTACTCTTGTAACCGGTAAATTTCGTTACGATCTCATAAGCTGGTAACAAAGGATTGCCCCGTGAAATATGCAACGCCAGAATTTCCACAATTCTTCATAGCCGAATTGCTGAATATTTTAACTGCATTACCACCGTATCTAGAATCGCGGTGACAAGAACTGGTAACATTTTTTTTTTTTGTAGATTGGCGCTTACACGTATGTTAGTGTTTGGCCGAGCTTCTCCTCCGATTTGTGGCGTGCGCCTTGATTATGTCACACAAAGCGGGGGACCTACAGTTTTACGCCGACTTCGAACGGCGATTGTATTTTTATGAGAAGCTGTTTTTCATGGCAGAAATACACTCGGAGGTTTGCCATTGCCTGCCGAGGGACGGCAGCTGTTAAGAAAAAACCTTTTTCTATATTTTTTTGCGATGTTGCTTTGACCAGGGCTTGAACCCAGACGCTGCGGAGTGGAAGCGCGCACTGCTTACCACTACACCACAGCGGCCGACTTAACATTTTTTGGTAATAAAATATTCCGGTTACAAAATCTTCGGTAACGTGCAAAATAGACCAGTTACTCAGAAATTTTAACTACATATAAGTAATAATTGGCTTTGAACTCTTTGATTGTTGAAAAACTTGGTTTGGTTATTTCTTCGTTATGATTTTTATGGCTTTTTAGTTTTATTTACATTGTTTAAAAAACTTTCATTTGTAATCACATCATATTTATGTTATTATTTAGCGAGCTCCCCATTCGCCCGCCTGCAACGCCAGATCAAGTGCCAGCATCGTGGTGGAATCCTGCGTGTTGTGATAAGAGTCTTCTGGTCGGAACATACAAGCATGGATGTGAAATGTACCGTCAGATACGTGCAGACCCGAACTTATGTTTTGTGGGTCACGTTGGTGCCGGTGATGACATGACCGCGAGCAATTTGGCGACGTAAGTGTCAAAAAATATATTAACCTAACGATATAATAACTTAAATTATAACCACAGTACATATGTATGTAATTATGCTAACTATGTATCGCTCATTTACTTCAATAGTTTCACAACTCGAAGAGCTCAAACACGAGAAAAACGGCTTTAAAGTTTTGAGTTTACATATCGCACACCTAGATCTAAAGTAAGCTAGCTTAAAATTCAGATCGGGAAATGTAACTTGTTGCGGATCGTACAGATTCAACGTAATTATCTCAAAAACCGGTATAACAGTATTTTTTTAGTTAGTGTATATAATCATGAAGAAAAAATATTTGTATTCATTGGAGGTAAGTTCTATGCATTGATTTATGCAAAAAAAATTTCCAATTTTTTTTTTTTTTTAATTGATCCCACTTAGATCTAGGTGTGGGATATACACCCATAGTAAGAAAGAAAACATATTTTGTTCTAATGAGTTACTGGTAAAAGATACATCTATGAAATTTTTACAGAACATAGAAGAAGAGGTGGCGGTAATTTCTGCATACTTAACTTAAAGCCAAATTTCATAATAATTATACAATCTTCAAAAAATTGCCATCAAAACTTTAACTATAAAAAGTAATAAAGTCTTAACTTCGGGCGGAGCCGAACATTAAATACCCGGCTCAAGTATTACATACAGTTTTTTCGGCTCTCCGAAAACTACCGCTGCGGCGGTTTTATTTCAAACATCTTCGATAGAACGTTCAGTTAGACATAATGGGATAAACTTATATAGTTATATGTGGGCGGTATCACGCCTATTTTCGAAAATTACCTAATAATATTACTTCTTTTCAAGGGATTGTTGTTAGGATCAGTTTTTAGTAAATTAGCGTCCTTAAATTTCGATATATCGATGTTTCGAGCATTTCTGAAATTAACGCTGCATGAAAAGTGGGCGTAATTTTAGTCCGATTTTAATAATTTTCAACGATTTCTATGTTGCAAGCACAATAATCATACTGAGTTTTGTACAAAGTGATCGAACGGTTACCGAGATACTACACATACATTATTGGCCATATCTATAGCGCCTTCATTTCAAGGTGATATTGTTTGCCACTTATGTTTAATTATTAATTGTTAAGCATTTTCAATTAAATTACAGTTCATTCTCTAACAAAACCTACAGTGCCGAACAGAAGTATTGGCACAGTGAATTTTTCGAAATATATGCAAAGTTCTTTATTCTAATTTATTTTCGATAATTTTTTGTAAAAATATTGTTCATTCTACACCAAAAAACATTGTAATAAAATCTCTAAACTTTGTGCAAAACTCAGGAAAATTCATTAAATTTGCACACTTATTTGCAACTTTTTATTCAGATTCAGAAAAATTCTAAGTATGCAGTTTTATAGTCCATTCAAATGTAGAATAACAAGGTGCAAGTTTGAAGTCGCTAGAAAATCGCATTGATTTTTGGTAATTTCACGCAAGTTCTTCCATACAAAGTAATTCGACAATTATTTTTTGTATGGAGAAAATGAGCAACACCTTCCACTAAAAAAATGGCCAAAAATCAACGCGATTTTCTAGCAACTTTAAACTTGCACTTTGTTATTCTACATTTGAATGGGCTATAAAACTGCATACTTAGAATTTTTCTAAAAAATCTGAATAAAAAGTTGCAAATAAGTGTGCAAATTTAATGAATTTTCCTGAGTTTTGCACAAAGTTTAGAGATTTTATTGTTATGTTTTCTGGTGTAAAATGAACTATATGTAAACTACTTTTGCTTAATTTCTAGTTAGTATTTAGTTCTAAGATATAACTCTAGTCGAACACACCAAGTAGATGGTGTAGTGTGTTCGGGGCATTATGTACATAGTATAACAGTTAAGATGACACTTGTGAAGAGAAACGATTAGAAACAAAGAAACGAAGTAAATACAAAAAGTTAAGCGGCAAATCATTGTGCTGAGGAAAATTAATAAATTACAAATTATAAGCTTTAAATGTCGTTTCTCTTTATAGGTAAATAATTTAAGTAAACTATTGTGATAAGAATCAATATTAAATAATATAAACACTCTTTATAGAGAAACCCAATTGAGTTTATACATTTGTTGCTGTGTTAGGCGGATCGAGTTAAACAAATATTACAAAACGACATTTTTGCTAACATTTGAAGAATGGAGAAGCTTAAATTCGAATTTTTGGTAAAATCTGCTGAGGACGGAAAAACGAATATAATGGCGATAACCACAATCACCACAAGTGATGATAGAGTTTTTAAAATACCAGCAGAAATGCAGCCAGCAAGTTTACATGAACAATTAATAAATACACCAACTTATACAAAAATAAAAAAACACATTAAAAAGGAGACACCAAACAAGAAAAGTATGGATAAATGTAACGGAAGATTTAGCCGGAATTTATATGGATGATGATGGAAATATGCAGTTCAAAGATTACTTTCTTGAAGAGATACCGCCAACAAATCCCACTGCAGGTATTTCAGAGGAGTCACTGTCGAAAGTTTTAGAGAAGCTGAGTGCAACAAAAAAAAATTGTGAATACCCTAATTTGAAGAAAATTGCTGAAAAATTTGAGCTAGAAAAATTCTCTGCCAAAAACTCAAATGCTAACCAATGGATGACCATATTTGAAAGTGAGTGCGACCGCTTTGACATATGTAAAGATGAGGAGAAAATCGAAGTCTTGAGACTTTTCTTAGAAAAATCATGCTTGGATTGGTACAGCTCTATGCTTATTAAATTATCGTTAGCTTCTGAATGGGGAAAGTGGAAAGAAAACTTTTGTGGCACCTATGCAAATAAAGGATGGGCTGCGAGCAGATATGCAATCTCATTCAGATATAAAACAGGTTCACTTTTGGATTATGCTTTGAAGAAAGAAAGACTTTTATTAGAAATAAGAAAATCAATTGACACAGGGACATTAATTGATCTTATTGCAGAAGAGTTACCAAATTATATAGCCGACAGAATAGATAGAGAAAAAGTAGTTAATACAGAAGAACTTTACAGTGAGATTAGAAAACTTGAACATTTAGTATCCAGAAAAACTATAGATAGAAAGAACGTATCAGCTTCTTATTCGAAAGAAAAAGAAACATTTGAAAAGAAAAAACCATGCAAAATCTGCGAAAAAGAAAACAGAGGTACTCGTTATCATACAGAAGCTACATGCTGGTTTATAAATCAAAAAAGTGAAAAAGAGATAAAACATGTTAATAATAATGAATTGGAATGGGAATTAAATGATATGGATCCAAAAAACTTGTAGTGCCACCATTGATCAAAGTTAAATTATTAATAAATGGAATTATTGAAGTATATGGAATTTACGATTCTGGTTCGAATGTATCTTTAATAAATTCGCGTTTATTACGCTTTAAACCAAAAAATAAAGATTTTTATACTGCAAATTTGAAAACGATCAATGGTACAAAAAAGGCTGAGGGAATGATAACTATTAAAACTAAAATTTTTGACATTGAAAAAGAAATACAGGTTTTTGTAGTAAACGAAAAAAAATTTTAGCTACGATTTTCTGATTGGATTAGATTGCATAAAATCATTCAAATTAATACAAAATGAAAACCTAATTATATCCCAAAAATGTACACCTTGTAGAAGCAAACTCTCAGAACTACCTTCGAAGTCGAGAAATGAAAATTTAAATATAAGTAATTTCTATAGATTTCGCCGTCATGATAATCATAATGAATGCGAATTAAATTTCAACGAACATTTCGATACAGATAATTGCGACATTTCGGTTCAACATTTAGACGTTACAGAAAAGTCAGAAATAAGTAAACTAATAGAAAAATATAAAACTTTATTCGCTAAAGATAAATATGACATCGGTACGGTAAAAGATTACGAGGCACGTATAGATCTACTAATAGATAGGTATTGTAGTAAAATACCATATAGATGCACGATTGAGGATAAGAAAGAAATAGAAACACAAATTTCAAAATTATTGGAGAAGAATCTGATAGAAGAGTCGTATAGTTCATTTGCGGCTCCGGTAACATTGGCTTTTAAAAGAGAAGAAAATAGGAGAACAAGATTATGCATAGACTTTCGCGATTTGAATAAAATTGTAGTTCCACAATCACAACCATTCCCATTAATTGAAGACTTGGTAGATAAAACACGAAACTGTAAATTTTTCTCAACGCTTGATATAAACTCAGCGTTTTGGTCAATTCCATTAAGAATCGAGGACAGACATAAAACAGCTTTCGTAACACAAGAAGGACATTTTCAATGGACGTGTTTGCCCTTTGGCTTGAAAACATCGCCAGCAATTTTCCAAAGAATTTTAAGTAACATAATAAGAAAACATAAGCTTAGTGAATTCGCGGTTAATTACATAGACGACATTTTGATTTTCTCAAAATCTTTCGCAGAACATATGTCACATTTATCATTATTGCTTGAAGCAATATCGAAAGAAGGCTTCAGATTAAAACTATCGAAATGCACTTTCGCAGCAGATTCAGTTAAATATTTAGGTCATATCATCAAAAGGAATTCAATTAGCCCCTTAAAAGATAATTTGATATCAATAAGAGATTTTCCAACACCAAAAACAAGAAAAAATGTAAGACAGTTTTTAGGGAAAATAAATTTTTACAATAAATACATACCAAATATTTCCATAACACTGGACCCTTTGCATAACCTTCTCAGAAAAGATCAAAACTTTGTGTGGTCGGAAAAATGTCAAAAATCATTTGAAGAGATGAAAATACTACTTTGTTCTCAGCCTGTTCTAGCAATTTTTGATCCAAAGTTACCAATACATATATATACCGACGCAAGTCTGCTAGGAATCGGAGCCGTTTTAAAACAACCCCAAGAAAATAATGAAGAAAAGCCGGTGGCCTATTTTTCCAAGAAGCTCAATGAAGTACAAAAAAGAAAAAAAGCTATTTACTTGGAATGCCTTGCAATAAAAGAGGCAGTAAAATTCTGGCAACATCGGCTTATAGGGAGAAAGTTCATAGTTTTCACGGGCCATAAACCCTTAGAAAAAATGAATGTAAGAGCTAGAACAGATGAAGAGCTAGGAGATTTAACATACTACCTGTCACAATATGATCTTGAGATCAGATATTCTCCAGGAAAATATAACCTAGAAGCAGATTGCTTAAGTAGAAATCCGGTGTTAGAGTCACACGAAAATAATGACGAAGAATTAAAGGTTGTAAATTTTGTTACACTAGATGACATACAAAAAGATCAAGGAAAAAATGTTGAATTACGACATAAAAACCACATCAACTTCAAAAACAATATATATTACCAAAAAGTCGGAAAACAAGAAAAAATTGTACTGTCTGAACCATTTAGCATAAGATTAATAAAAAGTACGCATGAATATTATTGCCATATAGGTACAAAACAAACGCAGGATAAGATCAGACCATTCTATACAGCAAGAAATTTAACAAAAAATATAAAGAAAATTTGTGATAGTTGTGCAATATGCATAAAGAACAAATCAAGAGGACAAAAGAAGTACGGGCAGTTGTCTAAATTAGGTCCTGCCACTACTCCGTTCGAGATCGTTTCCATAGACACAATAGGTGGATTTGGGGGTTCACGATCAACAAAAAAATATTTACACTTGTTAGTGGATCACTTCACGCGATACGCTTATATTTTGACGTCCAAAACTCAAAACTCGAATGATTTTATAAAATTGGTTAAGAAAGTGTTAGAGCACCATGAAATAGGTATGGTTTTAACGGACCAATACCCAGGCATCAATTCTACAGAGTTTAAAAAATTTCTAGAAAAATCGAACATACCAATTATTTTCACTGCGGTAAACGCACCATTCTCAAACGGTTTAAATGAAAGACTGAACCAAACGTTGGTAAATAAAATCAGATGTAGAATAAATGATGGAAAAAATAGAGTGGCATGGACCACAGCGGCACATGAAAGTGTAAAAAGATATAATGAAGCCGAGCATACTGTAACTGGATTCAGTCCCAAATACTTATTAGAAGGAAATGATACTACTTTAGTACCAAATGAATTAAAACTTGCGAAAACATTAAAAAAAACTTGCACAAGATAGGAATCTAGCACTTGAAAACAGCATAAAATCACATAACTACAATAAAATACAATTTGATAAAACCCGAAACTATCATGAATTCATCGTGGGAGATCAAGTATACGTTCAAAATGGGAATCGTTTAAATAGGAAAAAATTGGATGAAATAAAAATAGGACCTTACAAAATTTTAGAAAAAATTTCAAATTCAATATATAAAGTAAATACCGGTCATAAAAAACCAGAATCAAACCTTTTTCATATCACAATGCTTATTCCCATTCCAAAGCATGAATACACGTAAACAAATCTTTAGATAGTAAGAAGATAGAAGTTAATGAAACGAGATTTTAAAAATCTCTTCCCCAAGGGGGGGGGAGATGTAAACTACTTTTACTTAATTTCTAGTTAGTATTTAGTTCTAAGATATAACTCTAGTCGAA